CAGGATACTGCATTTACTGAAGTCTTTTTACATCTATCCATCAGTGGCATGTGGCACATACATCTGTCTTTGTAAAGAGATCGTATGTGTTGCAGATCTTCCTTTCTTGATTGTAGAAGGCTGATATATCTGACTGTTGCTGAGTGGTCATTGACTGTATGGGTGATTTAGCATCCACTACTCATTAATGGTCATCACCCATAAGTGAACTTCTATACGAGTGAGGACTCCTCGTCGTTCATTTGTGAATGTTCACATTCATCATACACATCACTATGTTCATTTGTAGGAAATTCCATGTACTGATTGTAAGCATACTTTAGAACTCCTTCATGTTTGCTCGTGGAAAACACATTGGGTGTGCAACGAATCTTTTACAGTAGATCATATGAGTTTGTATGCTCGTATGCCTTTGCACTTGTTACATATCGAATACCCTCCATTTGTAAGACTCAATATATTTGACTTCATTTTGCTCTTATATTCATAACAGATGAGCATAATTATTTGCATATAAACGAGCCATATTGAATATTACAAGTCTTCTACTATCATAGCTTGCTTGATGACATTTGTATTTGGTTAGGAATTCATGATGGCTCGTTAATGTTCATTAGAGATTTCATGCCACAGCTTCTAGGTAGAGATCTTATTGATCTATCCTTGCAAGCAAGTTGTGTTATCCTCTTAGGAGCATCATGTTTTGTCATGAGATTTGATTATATTATTGCTTAAGAGAAATTCCTTTGCTCCCCCTTCATCATGTTTTGTCATGTTCGTTCATATGGCAAGTCTAGGTCCTCACTTGGTTCAAACCAAGTTCATGTGAGTTCAAATAAGTTCACTTTGGGTCCATGTCTTGTTCAAGTTCAATGTCCACAAGTTTGAGTTCAAGATCATGTTCATTATGCTTAAGTTATGATTCATTTGGGTTTGATTTCAATTAAATAGATTGAATCAAGTCCACAAGTCCAATTTGTTCTAAGTCCTTGTTTGTATTTCAGACAAAATTTCGGCAGCCTCCCGGCGTCTCCCCCATTTAGGGCAAAAACCAAGAGGCCGCCTACCCGCCACGTCAATAAAGACGTGCACGGTTGGTGTTGGTGAGACACCGCGGCGGTTGTATTTTTTTGTTTTCTCCCAACGCGCAATAAAGGCGTGCAATGGGGTTTTATAAAAAAGCATTTTTTTGAAAAAAAAAAGCAATTTTTGATTTCCCCCGCCCTGGCGGTACTTAAAAGTGACCCGTTTCGCCACACGTGCCGCCACCGGGGTTCCATCCCTACCACGGCCAAATAAAGGCGTGCTATAGGACAGTTCTCCAAATTTGCCACGAATATTGAAGCAAGGTTTGAGTTAGAAGAGTACGACCTCCACGGGTTGTCGTGATTGACACGTGTCACGAGGGGTCATGCACCTACCTCGTTGTACGGTGTCCGCACGGGTTCCCTCCTACCGGCCACTAAAGGCGTGCTTAGGTGGTTTTACCGGTTCCGGACACGAGACATCGATGAAGAGAGTGGGGGGAAGGCATTTTTTTATAATTATAATTTAATTATATTTAATAAACAATTAATCATAACTAATTATAATTCAATAATTAATTAATTATTAATAAAAAATAATTAATTTATAATTAAACTAGCTTAATTATAATTAAACTAGTTATTATAATTAATTATAATTAATAACAAACCAATTAAGATTAATGAAATAATTAAATATAATAACTGAAATTTAATTAAATTTGTAATTAATTATGGTTATCTTTAATTAATAATAGTTAATTATAAATAATAATAATTTATTAATTAAGATATAAAATATAATTAATTATAATTAATTTAACATTAATCATAATTGATAATATTTAAATTAATCATATTGTAATTAATTTATAATAATTATTTATAATTAATAAGCATTAATGTATAAAATAATTAATAAATAATTTTCTTTCAATTAAGATTAAGGACAATTAAATATAAATTAATGAGATTAATCTCAATTAATAATCAATTTTAATTATTTATAATTTAATAATAATTAATTATAAATACTCATAATTAATTAGATAGGAATCATGTATGATTTGAGTAGGATTAACAGAGAATTAAACTCTCTGTTAACAAAGAGTTTAATTTCTCTGTTTTAGGGATTTGGCCGAAGAAGCACGCATAAGGGAGAAAGTTAACCTTCACAGCCAGCAAGCTCCCTTATTGTTTCCGATCAAACAGGGAAGGAGGGCCACCGAAGAAGCAAAGTCGAGCAGCCACAGGGGATCGGGTAAGGCTCTTATATGGACTCGGTTAGGGCAGAGAGGGAGCTACGGGTCAAGGCAGAGGAGGAGAGGGCGGCAGCTGCTTGGGATCGCCTGGGAGGTTGGATCGGGCAAGGCTGCAGGTAGGGGCGACCGACCCTCTCTCTTTCTCTCTCTCTGGATGGATGAAAGGAAGCCGGCGGGATCTGGAGATGGTTGCGGCTCGATGGAGATCGGAGGAGGGAGACGGGATGGGGAAGTGTCGTGGAAGCAGCGACTTGGAAGCAGAGGTTTCGTATGGGGAGAGTGTCGAAAAGAACCCAGAGCTTCTACTTCGTTTGCTCGATATTTAAAGGCGAGAATGGGAGTGGGATCGAGGTTATCGTCGCAGGATTCGCGCAAGATTTGTGCGAGGAGACGCGAATCAGCTCTGCTAGCGCCGAACAGCTGACATTTCAGCGGGTTTTGAGCGGGATTTTTGGATCCAACGGAGCAGAGGTATGATTTGGTATTATACATTGGTCAACAATAACTTTGTTCTATATCCATCTTAAAATTTTCATGTTCATTTGTCATACTCAATTCATCTATGACTCCTTAACTGCTTGACATTTTGATTCATACAATATGAATTGACAAATGTAATCTAATAAAACTTATCTTTAAATCTCTGTGATATTCATTTATCACATAGTAGATACACCCAAGGAAAATCTCCATTTGAACCAATCTCAACTTCAAAGTTTACATCCCATACACATTTTTTTGATAATATATTCAAGAAATTAAAACCTATTTGTAATATTCTGATGAATAATAATAATAATAATAATAATAATAATAATGAACAGACTAAAGTCAGTTTAACCGAATTGATTGTGTCGGTTCTGCCGCGAGGAAGATGATAGGGTTTCACCTCTTTATAATCGAGGGGAACCGAGAGAAATAACGAGAGAGATCAAAGTGTGTGTTTATCAACCAAGTTAGAAATCAAGGGGAAGAGACAGAATATGCAATTGGGAACAATTGAGTGGGCATGAGCAAGCCGGCGTGCTTGTCTAAATGAGAGCATAAGCCGTTCGTGAGGTTGGTGACAAAGCAGTACATGAGGCTAGTGAGATCAAGCATCTTGCTTCCTATGATGACGAGAGGGAAAGAGAATGGACATCACAAGAGCAAGAGAGAAAGATCGAAGGGTTTTGCTCCTTAATCGCAAGATGGAGAACTAGGAAACCAAAGGACTCTTGTTTTTTGTTTCGACCTTATAACTTCGTGATAGACAAGAAGCACAGGGAGAGTAAATAAATCGTCATTCTAGTTGTACTAGTGTCACTATGGATGTTTTTACCAATATGATGGAAGCAAAAACACAACATATTCAAAATTCTCAATCTCAAGCCATTAGAAGTGGGGGAGCAACAATAGATAAATATTTGAAGTTAATCCAAGATTTGAGGACACCCCTCTTTTCTAGAACTGGATGACCAATCGAAACCGAGAACTAGATGATAAAGGTAGAGAAGATTATTAAGGTATGCCTTTCCTTCATGAAAGAAGGGTAATATTTGTTGCTTTTGCTTTCGAGAGTGAAGCAGAAAGATAATGGTAAGGGCAATCACAAAATAAAATTGGCGAATAACCTGGCTACTTCATAAAATAAGATAAAATAAGATGATTTTGTGAAGTCTTTTTAGAGTGGTTTTCTCTCTTTCTATGATGAGACAATTGAAAAACATATTCAATATATTAGTGCAAAGAGACCAAAAGCAAGTAAGCGTGGGAGAGAACAATCAAGAGATAGAGAGGGAGAGCGTGTGAGATAGATGATGAGAAAAGGGATTGAACCGGCGAGAGATAAGAAACAAGTAAACAAGCGAGAGGAACCAAGTTTGAGCAAGCACAACAAACAACGGGTTCGACCACACAGACCAAGCCTTGTATGAGTAGAGTGTCAGTTGTTCAACACAAAAAGCTAAGGCAATCCTTCATTTCCTTCCTTCAAACTCAGAAGTTTTATTGTCTTCTATAAACTCTAGATTTAGTTTATAACCAAAGACATTTTTATTAGGGTTTCTATAAGAGTAAAACCAATTAAGATAATTCAGTGTTTTGCAAAAAAAGAAGAAAATTGAGATATGCACAAAAAATAGAAACTTCGAATTTTTATAAATAAAATCCAAAATTTTCAACTTATAGATAAAATTAAGGAAAAGTTGTAAGTTCAAGTAAATGTTTTATAGATTATAAATCTTTTATATATATATATATATATATATATAAAATTTAAAAGAGCAAAATAAGGAATATTTAAATATTATATAATGTATATTTAAAAATAAATTAAAAGCTTGATAGTCTAAATTTAATAATCTGTTAAAGATAATTAAGGAGTCGCAAACCCTGATTACTTTAATGTATTTAAATAAAAGTAAGGGTTAATCAAATACTATTTATATAATTGAGTGGAAGTACAATTAATCTAGTTAAAGAAAATATTTATTATAACAAGAGAATTATTATAAAATAGAGGTGTGTGTGTGTGTGTATATATATATAAATAGTGGCTCTTTTTAGATTGGATGACTATATGGTTGGAAAATTTTGATGATCTTTTGAAAACACTTGTGTAAAGTAAAAATATTTAAATTTTCAGTCCTATCGTCTGTTCTTGCCTTTATATTCCAAACTGCCAAGCCGAGTCATGACATCTTACTATTAACCAAATAAGCAATTGACTTACCGGCTTATATTTTGTAATAGCATAGACCCATCCAAGGCCAACTTCCTCATAAAGCCTTCTGAAGGCCTGCACGGAACCATTGATAAGATTGCAAATGTCCTCATAAACAAAAATACAGTTTCTTCAGACGTGAACCATGCCAGTTATAAAATCATGGACCTATATGCTTTCAAAACCTAATAAATAGCATAGAAATTTTGTTCAGTTAGCATAGACAAAATGAATTAGAAAGTTACCCCAAATTTTTAAGAACCTACATACCTGTGGTTCCCAATGATTTTGGCAGACAAATATACATATATTCATCAGTTTATATAGTAGGAATGGCCAAAGGCAATGAAAATCCTTATTTTATTATTTTAATATGTGACTGTGAAAGTAAAGAGGTTAGGAACGGAGAGAAATATTTTCTTCATAGCAAGAAACAACTCAAAGAAAAAATTGACAAGTATAAGTTTGTATGATTAGTTGAAGAGAATATTGGGCATAGAAAGACTTACCTGCATTTAAGTTCGCAAGTATGAACCCAATCAGTCAACTTATTCCTAATCCATTATGTAATTTCTAAGGATAAGTTGGTCATAGCTGGTTTGATTATTATAAATCGATTAAACTATAAAACCCAAAAAGAAAGAGGAAGATTTTGATATGGGAACGGGATGACCAGCATTCCAATTATGAACTAAATATGCATGTCAAACAAGGTTATCAGTTATCACCTTCATATAACCTACCAATCCAGAACGTCTTATAGCCTACATACTCTAGATGACCAAATCATAAGCTGTCAACTTAAAATTACCACATATGATACCATGCATATACAACAAAGCTTTCCAGTGTTAGTGATAAAAGAGATTTCATAATGCAACTATAATGGTGCAATGAATGTACATCATATAAAAAAATAAGGCCTCGCGTATTATAGACCCCTAAAACTTGCTTACCTTTTTAGCTGCAAACCAAATATTATGAGAATTACAACTCAAAAAATTATGAAATAATGAAATAAATCCAGAGAAACCAATGAGAAATTTGAACCACGGTAAATCATTGAGCAATTGAATTCTTTTCGCTACAACTAGAATTTCAGTTGTATCAAACTTAAACAAAATCAATAACTTTAATAAAAAGTTAAAAAGATATTAATAAGAAAAGAAGTAAAAGAAAGAGTTCACCAAAGAAAAGCCAAACCTCATGTCGTACAAAGAGATGGCTATCCCTGAAATAAGATAGTCACACTCAAAAGAATCATAAATTCAACTTACATAAACACACAACAACAACAAGCCTTTATCCCACTACATGGGGTCAGCTACATGAATCTTTTTTCTCCATTGTGTCTTATTAAGAGTCAAATTCTTAATTAAATCTAATAAAAAAAGCAACTTACACACACAAGATAGAAAACTAAAATTAAAAATTTTGTCAAATAAAAGTTGAATATTTACACGTCTCAAATCATTTATTTATAAAATTCTCATCCCCATCTTGATAGATATATGATTGGCACAAAAACAATTCATCACAATTCCATAATCTTAAAATTCGAAGTAGATATCATCCAAAAAAATTCAAACCATTAATTTTAAAGGCCCCCTCTAATAGTAATGCCTTATAATATCCTATGTCAACACTTATCCCTCCATAGTTTAGGGCAACTTCAATGGTATATACTTATCCCAAAATTATTTAATATGTAATACGTTACGACCGGTCCAATAGAGATGGACCTGCAGCCGGTCCAGCAACAAGGAACCGGACCAGCTGGGATGTGCGAATTAACAAGAATTTCGACCCCCTTTTGGCAATTATCCCATATGCTAGGAGGAGGATTAAGGGAGAAATTAATGAAGGAAATTTGAGTTAAACGTAGGGAGGGAATTAATTAAGGCCGGAGATATTTTAGGGCTATTTTGGGGGGTAAAGTGGGAGCTTATATGGGGATTGTTGTTTTGTATAAAGGCATGTTTTTTGATTGAGTTTTTACTGTTGTAGTTTTATGTGAGGCTTCCTAGCAACGTCTAGGTTAATTGGGAGAGACGATCTACCTCTCTAATTATAGATCGCTTGTATCTTATTTTTCTTGTTGAGTATTAATCCAAAATCAAACACTATTCCTCAATTTCCTGCAAATTTTCTATTGTTTTCTATTATGTTCTCGCTTGTTTTACTCCACGGCATATCAAATTGGTATCAGAGCCGTGTCCTAAACCAAAATCGCATTTCTCCTCGCTGAAATATGCGGCATAATTCCTTCTATTTGTTGATTTTGTTGATTGAAGACCGTTCATCGTTTTTTTTTTTGCGGTTTGAAACCTAGACCCATGAATGAAAGTAAAGAAGGAGGCGTTGGAAGGAGAGATGGAACAACTTAGGGTTGAGATGTAGGAGAAACATTCCGGCAATGAGAAAAGATTTTTCGGATTGGTGGGAAGGTTTTCCTCCATGGAGAGCCATTTTAGAAACATGGAAGGCATGATCAAAAAATTGATTGAGATGCAATCGAAGGCTTCACTAGCTATTCCTAGGGCGGATTGAAAGGGGAAGACAATTCAGGAAGATGTTGATGAAGTGGAGAGCATTTTACCTCAAGAACCAATAAGGGGGATGCCGATGGGAGTTGCATCGGGGTATCTGGAAGACAGGGCAGCGAGAAGAGGGGAATTTGATTTTTTTTTTTTTTTGAGACAACCTAGGCAGGCAGGAAGGTGGATCGAAGGAAGCAATGGGTGGGCCGAGCCATGGGGTTCAAATCCTCTAAGGGAAGAAGGGAGAGAATCACACCACCATTATATAAGAGGAACCAACAGTGGGAGAAACCTATGGGGTATGGATGTGAGATTGAGGAAGTTAAATATGCTAATCTTTGAAGGGGAAGATGCTCAGGGATGGGTATCCTGAGTGGAGCGTTACTTTGCTATCAATGGGCCGACGAAAGAAGAAAAACTCATGGCGGTGAGTCAATTATTGGGTCAGGTGACCGGAGGCGAAAAATAAGTTCAGAAATCCAATAAAAATTTGCCGCGTCACATGCGCTTTTGACTGCGCTTTTGACTTGCGCTTTAGTTGCGTTTTACTTGCGCTTTACCTGCGCTTTACCTGCACTTTACTTGCGCTTTTTGACTTGCGCTTTACTTGCGTTTTTACCTGCGCTTTACATGCGCTTTACTTGCGCTTTACTTGCGCTTTACCTGCGCTTAATTTAAAATAATATTTTATTAATATCCAGACCTATCTCCGCGTCCGGTCACCTAACCCAATAATTTACCTTATATTTGAAAGGGAAAACCCTAGCATGGTTCCAATGGAGAGAGGATAGATATCCGATCTACTCATGGGGAGAATTTAAGGAGTGTTTGTTGGAACATTTCTGAGCCATTCGGAAAGGAGACCTCCATGAGCAATTCTATGCCTTGACTCAAGAGAGTACAATTATGAAGTATCGGGAGAAGTTTGAGCTACTGTCGAGAAGATGAAGGGGAATATCTGAGGAAGGATTGGAAGGAAATTTCATGAAGGGCCTTCGGTAAGACATAAGGGTAGAGTTCAGGATACTGAGGCCTAGAGGGCACACCGAGACAATGGAGTTAGCACAAAGGGTGAAGGCAAACATCAGAGGGAGAAGACCAGCCAGAGCAACCCTATGGGAGGGGCTTATAGGAACACCTCTATGACCTTGGCACCGAATACCCAAACAGTGTCATTTCAGAGGGAAGTACATAAGGAGAAAAGCCCTGGAGATCGTCTTAGAGGCAATTTCAAATGTCTAACAAAAGCAAGAGTGCGGGATAGGCGGGCAAAAGAGTTATGCTTCAGGTGTGATGAGAGATTTACACCTGGGCATAGGTGCAAGAATCGATCCCTTCAAGTTTTGATGGCATGTGAAGGGAAAGAGGAGAGCGAGGATGAGTTGGAGTGAGTATTAGAGGAGACAAAGCAGTTGCATTTGGATGTGACGGAGGTTTCCTTGAACTCTGTGATGGGATTTACTCCAAATCATACCATGAAAGTAAGGGGGCAATTTGGAGAGAAGTTTGTGGTAGTCTTGGTGGATAGCGGAACTACACATAACTTCATCTCCTCAAATTGGGTGGTTGACTGATTGAGGCTGAAGTTAGTGAGGACGAAAGGATGTGGGTTCATGATGGGAACAAGCAAGATAGAGAGGAGCATGGGAATATGTAAAGAGGTTGTGATGACCTTGCATGGTATTCAGGTGGTGGAAGACTTCCTTCCCCTGAACTTGGGAAGTACATATGTGATTTTGGGGATAAAGTGGCTACAGACTATGGGGGATATGAAGGTGAATTGGAAATTATTAACCATGGAGATACAGGTGGAGGGGAAAAAGGTAGTCCTTCAAGGAAATGATAGTTTATGCAAGATCATGGTCTCTTTAAAAATCATGCTCAGGACAATCCAGGATGCAGTCCTGGGATATTTGATAGAGTTGAAAAGCATAGAAGGGGTCCATAAACAGGAGGCAAAGGAAATTCCAGTGACGGCCCAGTAGATTTTGCAACTATATTAGGATGTATTTCAGCCATTAGTCTGGTTACCACCGCCTCGAGAGCATGAGTATGGCATTAACTTGAAAGAAGAGACTTCTCCCATCAGTGTCATACCATATCCTTACCCTCAAATCCAGAAAGATGAGATAGAGGGGCTAATCAGAGAAATGATGGAAGTAGAAATCATCAGACCTAGTGTGAGTCCCTTCTCTAGCGTGGTATTGTTGGTGAAGAAGAAGGATGGCAACTGGAGATTTTGTGTAGACCACATAGGTCTTTAAACAAGAAAACGGTGCTAGATAAGTTTCCAGTTCCCATGATAGATGAACTCTTGGATGAGTTATTTGGAGCTATGATCTTCTCCAAAATTGATTTGAAGTCGAAATACCATCAAATTAGGATGAAGACAGCATATGTGCACAAGACTGCCTTCAGGACACGTGAAGGACACTAAAAGTTCCTGGTGATACCTTTTGGCCTTACTAATGCCCCTGCCACCTTCCAGTCACTTATAAACCGAGTGTTACAACCATATCTTCAAAGGTTTGTCCTAGTATTATATTTATAACATTTTGATATACAACAGGATAAAGGCAGAACACTGGAAGCACTTGAAGACTATCATGGAGACATTGAGGGAGAATTAGTTGTTTGCCAATTGGAAAAAATGCACATTTGGGCAATTGCAGGTGGAGTATTTAGAAAATGTGGTGTCCAGAGAAGGGGTGTCAGCTAACCAATCCAAGATTCAGGCCATAATGGACTAGCCTCTTCCTAAAAACTTGAGGGAGCTACGAGGGTTCTTAGAGCTTACTGGTTACTACTGGAAGTTTGTGAAGGGATACGATACCATAGCAAGACCTTTAACGGAACAATTAAAAAAAAAATCAAGTGGGGGGAGCAGGCGAGCCTTCTAGTTTAAATTTCAAAATTTTCTTAAACATTTATTTAATAAAAAATATTAATAATTCTAATTTTAATTTCAAAAATTAATAATTCTAGTTTAAATTTAAGATCATTATAGACTAGAATTATTAATATTTTTTTTTATTAAACAAATATTTAATAATTTTTTAGAAAAAAATATTATTACTTGAATATTATATTTAATAAATAATTTAATTAAAAATGACCAAAATACCCCTTGATTTAACAATATTAACCCCAAAATTTAATTTTATGACCAACGAGACCCATTTTTAAGGAGTTGAGGGACCTAATCCCTCACAAATAGTTGAGAAACCATTTAGTCATTTTCTCTTTTTTGTAACAAGTAATTAATAAACAAAGGAAACATGAACCGAAGCCAAAATGTGCCACACCAACAGAAACAAGTCATCCTAAAGTTTGCATTCCAAACAATGGAATTAAGAAATATTATAAAAAAGAAGAAGACATTTTTAAATAAAATATAGACGTTAAAGTTAAGAGCTTGTTTAATAATTTATGAAGTTAAGAATGTCATTTTGGAGGTAATTTCATTATGAAGCCATGCAAATAATATGACATATTAAAGATGCTAGATTGTAGGAGCACAAGATACTTATAGAAGTTGATGAGAAAAAGTAAGACTGGTTTCCGGACAATATCTCCAATAGGAAAAGAAACAGAATTTGATGCATAACAGTCATCATCTTTCTTCTAATTGTATAAGAAAAAAGGAGTGACAAACAATCTAAAATTTATAAATTGCAGTATATGAGTAATTTAAAGAGGAAGGAGGTACTTCTGAACTAGTTCATGAATTTCAAGCTAAAAAAGAACAGTACATACTTCAACATTTGTGTGGATAGTTCCATCAGATTGAATTGCATGTATTTTCCCCATAACCTATAGAGTATAGGAATTCAGGAATTAGTTAAACCGAGCAATGTACAGTTCAGAAATAAAACTTTTTTTTTGAATTATGTCAGTGATGAATGCATGAGCTCATAATAAGCACTGCAGAGAAATTCATAAGCTACGGAGAAATTCATGAGCTCAAATAATGGCAAACGAAAGTTTTGCGATCTTATATATGATAATACATTTACTATTTAGGCCTACCATACATACTTCTACTGCATGCATAGACTGACCGTGCTTTGGACTAGCCGAACAAAGCCAAGTCTAGAAGGACAGTTTGCTCACTTGGGAAAGGACATTTTAGTAATTTTTCACCGTTGGGGGCATCCTATCATTTTGGATTTAACGAGGAATCATTTGCTCCTTGGCATGCCGACCAGTGCATTTGAACTTTGAAGTCAATTAGTGCATTGACAGGCTATTCGATGAATGGGCAAAGTTTGAAGCACTGTACAAGAGCCGATTAAGTTTAATTTGTTGGTCAATCTTGTTGAAATCGATATAGTTGCAGTCATTACTTAATTAAACTATCAATTGATTAATTGATTAAGCCATCAAGGGACTACTGGAGTATCATCTTGAGTAAAGAATTCCAAGTTTACATAATCAAACTCAAACTTATAGTTGGGCTTCAAGTGACCAAATCTATGTTTATTCTAATTCCCCAACCGGAGTATACTTTCAATGTTGGTGCTTTAAAAACAAGCCTTAACTCAGCTCAGCTCAACCCTGGCCATGTCAATCCTTCCCATGTCAAATTTTAATGAGTTATCAATCTTTTCACAAAAACATTAACCAAAATAATCTGGGCTTCAGTCAATCCTAGAACCATCTAATTAAACCCTGCTCAATTTGGTTTAGAGCTCCATTAAGCCTATGCCTGAACCAAGTTCAATGCCAACACATGCATCTTAAGAATGTGATACATTACATACAGTAGTTCCATTCTTTCATGGTCCCTAAAGCAAACATACAGTATTTCAAGTCCTAAACATTAAGCTTTGAAATACGATGAAGTATTTATGACATGAATGGAATTGAGAACATATTCTTTTATGAATTCATTCTATATAGCTAAAGAAAAGGACCAATTCCATGAATATTTTAACAGAAAAGCATACAGTTTTGTAGTCAAGGCCTTGATTTTCCTCAGGCAAGTAATCATCTGAACTTATGTCCACAAATTTTATTGTTCCATAAGCTTGGTTTCGTTCTCTGAGCATGTTGACCTGAAATAGAGGAACAAACAAAGAAGGAAAGCAAAGAATACTATGGAGGAAAAAAATCAAATCAAATCAAATGCTAAGGAAAATATTCATGTTTTTGTACTATAAATATGCATTTATCTACTCCTAGCCATGCATATAAATAATTGGGAGAATTGTTATGACCAGTTGTTAACTCCTGAAGGAATGTGTCCTGACTGGTAAACCAATAATAAGTTGTTGATGAAATATCATGGTCAATATGAAAAATTGCAGAGGAAATAGTTATTTATTAATGGAAAAATAGATAGATACAATATCAAGCCAAGGTAATCCATTCAGTGTACTACCATTTAATTTTTTCAAGCAATCAACCATCCAATAATCATCTTGTTATTTAATCTTTAACAACTAACATGAGTAACTCAAGTGAGCATGGTAATATTGTTAAACATAATGAAAGTTGGTAAATGATATTTCAAAAGGTGCTTAGTTTAACCCAAAAAAGATTATTACAATTGTTAAATGTAGCCATTAATAAAAATAAAATGTTAATAAGAGTAAATAACCAAAATAATCCTCAAACCATTTAACTTGTCAATTTTAATACCAATATTTTATTATTCTCCAATTTGGTCCCCCAACTTATCAATACCTAACTTTTTTAGTCTTTCCTTGGGATTTGCCTCAACTCCTTTGGATTTTCCCCAACTTATCAAACTCGATTGAAATCGTTGCATTGGAAAAATTACAACAACAACAAAAAAAAAAATTTCTTACAAGCCTAGCCTTTCCTAATTACCTTATTCCCCGTTTGGCCCCAAGCATTCGCCCAGTTCTCTGCTCCCTTCTTCCCCCAGCTCTTAAATGAGATGAAGCATTGTTTTAATATATATATATATATTATATATATATTATAATATATATAGTGGATTTAACTGAAAATGGCCTTTTAAAGCTACCACAGGAAAACTCAATAATCATTTATATATATACTAATATCCTTTGGGAAATCAAAAACATTTAATTCCTCATCAAACAAGACATGTCATCGTTAGTGGAAGACAAATGGAGGCCACAGTGCATTATTTAAGAAATAGTGAAATAATATGAACAGGAACATCAAATAAATTTTAGGATGATTGATTTAATTATTAAATTAATTTATATAACCAATTTAGATTTCACACACACACACATTATATATATATATATATTATTATATCAAAATGTATGAGCAACAATTAGTAAATATAAGATAGCAAAAAATAGGCATCATATGTGATTAGACTATGTGAAAGAAGTTAGAAAATAGGTAATGATGAGGATAAAATTTAACGAGAAAGAAAGGATAACATGGAAAAGGTGTAGATCAAATAAAATCTATAGAATTTTTGCAAAAGGACAAACAAACTGGAGTTTGGCATCTCATGAAGCAACAAGTAAATATGAATGAAGAGAAAAGATTCATAGAATAAAAAACCTTAGCAGGTATAAAACTACTGATGACGTTGAATATCCTGAAATTAGTTGGCATCAAATCAAGTCTCAATATTTCCAAACTTAAGGTTCCCAATTGAAAGAGATCGTAATTGATTATAAGCTAATTTAAATATAACTTCTTTTTATTAGCATAGAAAGATAAAGCAAATTACTTACTAGTGGGGCACATGACACAGGGCTACTTCAGATGAGAAAATACAAATTTTGAAGCTGAAAATCTTTAAACAATACACATTATATCTCTTTTAAAAACACACCTCACGCATACAAAGTGGGCATTCTCCATCGTAAAGCATTTTAATTTTCCAAGTGTTGGATAACCCTTCGTCCTTTGACTGTGTCATTTCTTTCAACTTGGACTCTGAATTTACCGCACGAATTTGAAAACTTGGAACTAAAAAACAAAACTTTATGGTGAGCTTTTTGTGACATGGCGAAACAAAATAGCTTCGATGCTATAATTCGTAAAATTAAGAAGCACAAAGTACTATGAAGCCTACTCTTTTACAATATAAACATAATAATGGATCAGTTAATTTCCAAGACAACAACTCGAAAGGCTTTGAAATAACAATAAAAGCAGAACTGCAGAAGAGTTTGCTAAATAGTTCTTCAAAAAGAGTCTTTAAAATTACATACATACTTAGGGCCATCTAGCATAACCAGCTTCATCTTAGCTCACTCTGAAAACCAAAGCCATGCAGCACCTTAGTCTCTCTCTTCAGAGAAACACATTCATGATCATTTATAGCAAAATACACAATAGCTGCATTCTCTTCTTTAACTTTTAAAGCCTTGGCCATATGAGAGACTATATAGTTCATGAAATTAAAGACAATATATTTAGAGTTTTCATGTAAGTCTAGGCAAGTTAAGCTCACTAGTCACTAGTCACACTAAACCTTCATGAAGTAGAGCTTTGTGCATAGCAGACTTGTTGATGACAGAAATCCACTTAGTTCAGCCTTGAGCTTTTCGCGAACTTTTGGATAATTTTCTTCGGTCCTTTGCTTTGTGCTTTAACGGACTTGTTGAAGAAAAATTCCTTCGATCCTCTGCTTTGTGCTTTACGGATTTGTTGAAGGATTTGCAGGTTCTGGATTTGATGGATAATACCGAATGT